CCCAGGCGGCTCTTGGGATTTAGCAGAAGCTCCGTGAGTTTTGCTACTGGATGGATGAATAAATGGCGCAGCTACAAATTGACATTTTATGTTTGCAGCCATCAAAAGTTATGTTTATGAAGAATTTTTAGTGACGTGGGAAAATACTCAAGACGTAGTGATAACAGCAGAATGCAGGTGGCAGACACCAGATACGTGGATGGAGCTGCGCCGAGGAGGTTCACGTGATCTTATCAAATAATATGGAGCGAGAAAATACTGATATTAGTTTTCCCTGCAGCATGGGACCCCAGGTGATCCTCTGTGTGCATGTGTGTGTGTGCGTGTGTGTGCATGTGTGCGTGTGTGTGCGCGTGTGTGCGTGTGTGTGCATGTGTGTGTGCATGTGCGTGTGTGTGCGTGTGTATGCGTGTGTGTGCATGTGTGCACGCGTGTGTGTGCGTGTGTGCATGTGTGTGCATGTGTGTGTACGTGTGTGTGCATGTGCATGTGTGTGTGTGCGTGTGTATGCGTGTGTGTGCATGTGTGCATGTGTGTACATGTGTGTGTGCTTGTGTGTGCATGTATGTGTGTGCATGTGTGCGTGTGTCCGTGTGTGTAGAATTTTCTACCGGAAGCATTTATGACTTTTCCAATCAGAAGTGATGCACTTTCTAATTAAAGTAGTGGAAGCATATATTGCTGGCAGTGAAACAAAACTAATCTAAACCTTCTGGAAAATGACTTGGCACCAAGGTTCGTGAAATTTCTCTATCTTTGACGCAGTGGTTCAATTTCTGAAATAAGCAATCCTAAATATGTAATTAATAAATAAGTGATAAACGCGTGAGCTCTCAGGGTTGTCAGGCAGTCGTTTCTGTGGACTCTGCCGTCTGATGGATGTTTCCTGGTGGTTGGAAGGTCATTGCTATGACTGTAATTGAATTCTACCTGTGATGGCACAGAAGGCATCTGTGGCCATAACTTTATGTGGAGGCAAAAAGCAAAATGCAGACCCCTCCATCTTGAAGGTGGCACATGCATGTTCCGTGCGCCCTGGAGCCGCATTCAAATCACCTGCCCTGTCCAAAGTCATGCAGGGCAGCGGCGAGGCCGCATTTGCCAGGGAGGGGTTGGCCTCCCCTCCGGCCACCGAGTGGGGCCCCAGGTCCCTCCTCTGAGGGCTGGTTCAATCTGAATGTGTCCACACGGCATGTTCCTTCCCCGTGGCCACCAGGTTCAATCTGAATGTGTCCACACGGCATGTTCCTTCCCCGTGGCCACCAGGCAGTCCTCGTGCGGTGCTGGTGGTGAATGTTCGCACAGCCATCCCAACCTCCAGGCAGAATTGGGAGGGGCAGGGGCCAGCGATGGGGCAGCCCCATGGATGGAGACCCTTTACGTGCCCTGGAGGAGAAGTGTCCAGCTGGCACCTTGGTCTGGCCCTGAAACTCCTGTGTGGTTCTCGTTGGACGGTTCCTGCGTGCACACCGCAGCAGCACTTCCGTCTGTGAAGCAGGGCACAGAGTGAAGCACAGCCGTGGTCCCCAAGGCCAGGCGGGCACTGTCACCTGCTTCCTTGGGAGAGGATGCCCTTCCTCTCCTGAAAGGGGTGTGACCATGGTTTAGTGGCTGTTTATTTAACGCCTTTGCCTGACACGATACGGGGCGGTGCCTTTCTCGGTCCCCTGGGACACCCTCTTTGAGAGCTTTGCAGTTCAGAGCACTGTGGCGGAGTGTGGCTGGGGCTCACTGCCTCCTGGCCATGGGCCCAACCTTCAGCCTCAGTAGTCTCATCAGTTACAGGGGGGTGACAAAAGCACCTGGCTTGGAGAGAACCCTGGGGATTAAAGGAGGCAAAGCTCGTGCAATGCCTGCACGAGGAACACGGTCAGTGCTGTGCTGTGAATGCGTTGCCAGCTGCCCCCATGTGGGAAGCTTCACCCCCACCATGGCATTGAGAGGGGTCTGCAGGGGCCCTGCCCTCTCCAAGGGGTAAATGCCCTTAATGTGAGAATGGGTTAGTTATGGGAGTGGTTATCTCAGGAGTGGGTTGGTTACCTCAGGGGTGGGTTAGGTGTGGTGGGAGCAGGTCAGTTACCATGGGAGTGGGTTATCTCAGGAGTGGGTTGGTTACCTCAGGGGTGGGTTAGGTGTGGTGGGAGCAGGTCAGTTACCATGGGAGTGGGTTATCTCAGGAGTGGGTTGGTTAGCTCTGGAGTGCAATGGTTATCATGGGAGTGGGTTCGTTAACTTGGGAGTGGGTTACCTTGGGAAATGAGTTAGTTATCACAAGAATGGGCTGGCTACCATGAGACTGGGTTAGTTATCTCAGGAGTGGGCTAGGTGTCTTGGGAATGGCTTGGTTATCTCAGGAGTGAGCTGGTTATCATGGGAGGGAATTGGTTGTCTCGGGAGTGAGTTGGTCATCTTGGGAGTTGGTTTTCTCAGAAGTGAGTTAGTTTTCTTGGGAGTGAGTTGGTTATTATGAGAGTGAGTTGCTTAGTGGAATTGGCCCGGTTGTCTCAGGAGTGAGCTGGTTATTGTAGGAGTGAGTCGGTTATCATGGGAGTGAGTTGGTTATCTTGGGAGTGGCTTGGTTATCCTGGGAGTGAGTTAGTTATCTCAAGTGAGTTGGTTATGATGGAAGTGGCTGCAGAAGGGCCCTATGTACAGTCAGGGCTAGAAGGAGAAGGTGGGGGACCCCGTGTACAGTCGGAGCTGGAAGGAGAAGGTAGGGGATCCCGTGTACAGTCGGAGCTGGAATGAGACAGGGGGGACCCCGTGTACAGTCGGAGCTGGAAGGAGAAGGTGGGGGATCCCATGTACAGTTGGAGCTGGAATGAGATGGGGGGGACCCCGTGTACAGTCGGAGCTGGAAGGAGAAGTGGAGCCTGGCCCTGTTTGACCAAAGATGTTGCCCCTCTGAGCCTGTCTGTGAATGGCCATGGAAGACCACGAGCATCGATTTGGGGATTACAGATGAATTTTAGGGAGTAGAAACATTTGCAAACACAGAATCTGTGAATGATGTGGGCAATGGTACTTTGGTATTCTGGCAACCGCTGTGGACACACTGGTGGGGCTGGTGGGACTGGGGGGCACAGGCTTTCCTGGGGCACCAGGTCTTGACCATTGACCTCCCCCCAGAGCTGTCCCTGGAGCAGGTGGGTCAGATGAACAAATGACTCTGACCAGGGTCAGCAAAGAGATGGGAGCCGCCTCCCCACGGCCCCCAGCCTGCGCCCCTGAGGCCCGGTGAGGCCCCTGACGGTGGAGGCTCCTCCGTGAACAGCAGCCTGAGAACAGTGCTTCTCAAACCTGGCTGCGTCACCCGGGTCCTTGTTAAAACACAGCCCACCAGGCCCCTCTGGGAGTGTTTGATCCACAGGTGCACGTCAGGCAGGAGACTCAGGAGCTCTGGTGACCTCCGGGTGATGCTGAGGCTGAGGCTGGGGACCAACTTCGGCTCTAGCCTTGGAGCCAGGTCTCAGAGGCTTCAGGCGTCCTGCTCAGGGTGGCAGCGGCCATGCAGTGCCAAGGTGCCAGCAGAGGCTGGGGTCAGGACTTCCAGCCGGGAGGGCATGGCAGGAGCAGGCGCAGACCCAGGGCAGCCTCTGGGAGGGCAGGGCAGGAGCAGGCGCAGGCCCAGGGCAGCCTCTGGGAGGGCAGGTGCGGTCAGAGCTGCTTGGCTTTCCTGGTCACGTTCTTTGGAGCAGGAGGAATCCGTTAATAGCTCAGAAAAGTGAAAATCCCACGGACCTGATTTTGCCTGTGAGGAAGGTTGCCGTGGGTGCCTCGCGGCAGGATTTCTGGAGCTCTCATCTTCCCTGTCTCTTATCTGCAGCCTCATATCTTCTTTCACAAAGAATTCCTTCCAAAGAGGCAGGGTTGCTTGATCCCACCAGGAAACAAGGACAAATGATGAAGAAACTGGTAAAAGTGTGGAGACGCCCAGCCTGCGGCTGCAGGGCTCAGGACCAAATCCCTCTAAACCCACCGTGGGATGGAGCCGCCAGTGGTCCCTGTAGCTGCACTGGGGGTCACAGGGAGTGGCCGGTGCTGCCACAGCCCAGGGGCTGGAGATGGGGCCTCCAGCCTGGGAAGCCTTCGGACGGGCATCTGGAGAGTTTGCTCTGCTCTTCCCCACCCCCAACACCCTGGCTTCACTGACAGCCCAGTGCCGGGCACCGTGCAGGCAGGGAAGGGGAGGCCCAGTGCTGGCACTGGTGTCCCCCGGGCAGCTTCTCTCAGCAGCTACGGGATGGTGACAGCACTGACTCCACCAGCCGAGGAAGAAGATCGGATCCGAGGCAGCAAAGGCTCCTTTACCCCAGTGCACGCCCAGTGCGGGGCTCGGGGTCCCTGAGCTCCGTGTCCACCATCTGCACAGTCCTGGGGCAGGGACTCGATGGTAGCCCACCTGTGACCAAGGAGGACCCTCAACCAGGAGAAATCAGGCAGCTCAGCGGGCAGCAGCATCTGGACCAGGGGCTGCTTGGTTCTCTTAAGCACAGGCGCAGCAGTGAGGGGAGGCATGGAGCCCCAGGGTGAGGAAGGATGGGAATGGCAGCCTCTCTCTTCAAAACACACTCAGTGGGAGGCCTGGCAACCCTCATTCCTCCGCAAGGAAGCTGTGAGCAGTGGCATAGCCAGGGTGTCTCCTAACCCCCGTGCAAGCGACGGGACCACAGCACGTAGGCCAGTGAAGGCCCAGCTCCTGCGCACCTTCTGGCCAATGAAGCAGATTCAGGCAAAGCTGGGGGCGTCTGCCAAGTCCCCTTAGCTGTGTAACGTGACACTCGCTGGTTCCAGGGATTCGGATGTGGACAGCTTTCGGGCTGCTGCCAACCACATAGAGTAAAACGAGTTTGCCGTTCGTGCAAGGCAGGGTGGCTGGAGGACAAGAGCATCCTTTGGGATTAAATAGATGATGACAAAGCCAGTTCAAGGGACAGGCTAACTGGCAACACGACAAGAGATCAAGCCGATGAGATGAAAACCAAGAGAATGAAAATGGAGAATGAAGCGTCGGGAGGCAGGAGATAAACCGGGAGAGGAAACGTTCACTTAACAGAGGTTACAGAAGAGAAAACAGGGATGGCAGATGGGAATGCAGTCACATCATTAACAGAACAAACTTCCTGGAGCTGAACATCGACATGAGTATGGATTGCCAAGTGTGACTGTAAAGTGTGGATTGCCAAGTGTGACTCTAAAGTGTGGATTGCCAAGTGTGACTGTGATTCGCTTCAAGATATGCCCTGACCAAATCTAGGATCCCAACAACAACAACAAAAATCAGTGTCCAGAGACAGGCAGAAACAAAATGCCAGTCTGAAGAAGAAAGAGGGTCCTGCCAACCTCAGAACACTCACAGGCAGCACTGGGCGCTGCATGAGGCGAAAAAACCGTCGAGCCTGGAGTTCTATACCCAGCACAATTATCAAGCCAGCATGAGGAGCAACGAAAGAGACTTCCAGACATTTGAGGGCCCAGCAAGTTTACTTTCCACACAACCCTTCTTCAGTCTTCTTTAGAGACATACTTCAGTGGGATGAGAGGACCTCCAGGACCTGAGCAGACGTGGGATCCACAGGGCGATGGAGCCCACCCAGGCTTAGAGTGAGGAGGGCCCGGGGGTGGCCGCTAGGCAAACAATTGATGCAAAGGGACCTGGGAGTGAGAAGGCCATGAGGCAAGGGCACTGAGGGCCGGCCCTGCAGTCGGGAACATCTCTGGGAAGATGGGGCTGTGCTCCCTGGTCACATCGCCAGGAGGCCTGAGCTCACATGGCAGCAGAGCACGGCTGTCAGGAGGAGCTGCTCCATGCCACGTTGCCTGGGTTCAAACGTGGTTCTGATGCTGACCAGCCCTGTGACCCTGTGTGTGTGTCCTGACCTCTCTGAGCCTCAGTTTCCTCATCTGCAAAATGGGGTGAAATACAGAGCCTACGTCCCAGGGGTGTTGTGGGGAATGACATGTTAATGTGTGTGAAGGGCGCTTGCTCAGTAGATATTATTATTATCTATTTGTCTTCTCTAAAAGGGCATATGAAAAGTCAAGATCCAAACCTAAAACAAGTCAAAATACGCATAATTCTGAGAAATTGATAGTGTAACAGGAAAATCAGTGATACTGTCTTGACCTTCGAAAGTTCTTCATTAAGCAGCACAGGTTTAGTGGGTGATAGAATGATATTTCCGTCATAGTGTCCATGCCGTGCTGGCGCCATGGTGGATTGTAACTACGTAATCCTGATGTGGGCATGTCAATTTACTGCTTTCTTTCTTTCTTTCTTTCTTTTTTTGAGATGGAGCCTCACTCGCTCTGTCACCCAGGCTGGAGTGCAGTAGCGCGATCTCAGCTTACTGCAACCTCCGCCTCCTGGGTCCAAGCGATTCTCCTGCCTCAGCCTCCCGTGTAGCTGGGATTACAAGTGCGTGCGCACCACCACACCCGGCTAATTTTTATATTTCTAGTAGAGATGGGGTCTTGTCATGTTGGTCAGGCTGGTCTCCAACTCCTGACCTCAAGTGTTCTGCCCGCCCCGGCCTCCCAAAGTACTGGGATTGCAGGTGAGAGCCACCACGCCTGGCCTGCCCACCCTGGCCTCCCAAAGTGCTGGGATCACAGGTGTGAGCCACGGCACCCGGCCTGCCCACCCTGGCCTCCCAAAGTGCTGGGATCACAGGTGTGAGCCACCACGCCCGGCCTGCTTTGCATTTCAGAACCACCCCGTCGTCAAGTCCTGTGAACACTCACTCACGGTGATAGAGCCGAGGGTGGGTGTCACAGATGCCTTTAGGGGTGTAAAAGTAGCGGCACAGCTGAGCGGCAGGTGGATCAGGGCGCCCATTTCTCATCTGATGAGGCAGGGAGTCTGGAGATGCTGGCTAGAGTCAGAGCTTCCAGAATTAGAGGCTTACGTATTCCTTTTGAAGCCACCAAGGTAACCACAGGATCACTAAAAATAATAGCTAAGAAAAATCGAGGGAAGGAGGGGGGCAGGGGAAGAAAGTGGGGTGAAAACGGGCTCAGCCCCTCATTTTTCATGCCAAGAAGTCAGGGGACCTTGTCTCAGGCTGATGAGGCGAGACCTGAATCTGCAGCAGACACAGTGAAAAGGACTCAAACCAGAAAAAGGCATCTCCTCTGAAGTGTGGTGCTTGGAGCGGAGACAGAGCACACAGTTGTCAACTCTCCGTTTCATGATTTTCTGGATTGTTTGAATTTTTAAACTCGTGCATATTTTATTTTACAAGTGAAAAAGTAAAGCCCCAACGCCGGGCATTGGGCAGCCGTCTGGAACCACGCTCAGCCACCCTCCTGCCAGGTATAAAGCCCCAATGCTGGGCATCAGGCAACCGTCCAGAACCACGCTCAGCCACCCTCCTGCCAGGTGTAAAGCCCCAAGGCTGGGCATTGGGCAGCCATCTGGAATCACGCTCAGCCACCCTCCTGCCAGGTGTCAAGCCCCAATGCCAGGCATCGGGCAGCCGTCCGGAACCATGCTCAGCCACCCTCCTGCCAGGTGTAAAGCCCCAAGGCTGGGCATTGGGCAGCCGTCCGGAACCACGCTCAGCCACCCTGCTGCCAGGAGTAAAGCCCCAACGCCGGGCATCAGGCAGCCGTCTAGAACCACACTCAGCCACACTTCTGCCAGGTGTCAAGCCCCAATGCCAGGCATCGGGCAGCCATCCGGAACCACACTCAGCCACCCTCCTGCCAGGTGTAAAGCCCCAATGCTGGGCATCGGGCAGCCGTCCAGAACCACACTCAGCCACCCTCCTGCCAGGTGTAAAGCCCCAACGCCGGGCATCGGGCAGCCGTCCGGAACCACGCTCAGCCACCCTCTGGCCAGGCGGCCAATCCCCACCTGAGGCCTGAGCCCCGTAGATGATGAGGTCTCTCTTGAGGTAGAAGCTGCTGTGCCTGCCTCTGGGAGACATCCAATTCCAGACTTTCCAAAGTGAAAAATGCAAGTGCAGTATTGATATTTTTAAATAGCATGATTACGTATTTATCGCACAGTATTGACAAAGGGAAGTGATTTGTGTCGTTTTTCAATTGTACGTCCAATCTGTATCCTTCAGTCCTACATAAATAAGAACACTTTGTTTATCCATTTAAAATAGAATATTCCAGAAAGTCCAGAGGTTCCAGGAGGCTCAAAGCCTCGGCTCTGCGGACGGGAGAAACCCACTCACTGCGCTTGGGGGGGAGGGTCACGGGCTGGAGTCTCCCCAGGGCATCGGTCCCTGCCCGGAGCAGGAATCCTACAGAGACCCCGCCGGGCCCCAGGAGCTGGTGCCACAAGAGAAGGGCCCCTCCCATGCGGGCAGCTGTGGGACGTCAGCATCGGGTATTTCCCAAGTTTGTGTTTCCACTGGCCTTCCTCCGTGGACCAGAGACCTCTCTGTGCAAGCTGACAAAAGGCAGCCCAGCCCCAGGGGTCCATGCCGCCTCTTCCTGGGCACCTGCCCCCCAAATCCACGATGCCCCAGAGACTCCCAGCTCAGAGACAGCCAACGGTGCCATCTATGGGGGCAGATACCCCCTCACCCCCGTCCCCGTGGGATCAGCATCCCCAAGCCACGTCCACTTGCCCAGCACAACTGAGCACCTAGAACTTTCCCTGGCCCGGCCCCCTTGGGCACCCGCTCCATACACCCTGACAAAGCCGTGGAGCCTCCCCATCAGCCCAGAGGTTCCACCGGCCCCTTTCCAGTCGACACTGCCCCAGCCCAGGGTCCCCGTCCCGCCCCGATGTCTGTGGGATGGGATTGGGATTCCGTCTGTTCTTGAACCTCACGCCGGTGGCCACACGGGATGAGGTCTCCTGTGTTGATTCTTTGACTTGGCGTCACGTGTGTGAGCCGCGTCTCGGCTGCTGCCTGTGTCGACGGCTCGGTTCTTCCTACCCCAGAGTAGCAGCATGCATGCGGATGTGTGTTCAGCTCACGTTACGCAGGCAGACGGCGTCAGGGCTGGTGGGGTTGGTGGCAGTGGCGTGGCGTTTAAAACACCTGATCTTCTTAGAGTCGTTGCAGTTTTTGAGTTAATATTTTTAGCATCAGTAGGTCTGACCGTCAGAGCAGTTTCGGGTTGATAGAGACTGAGCGGAGTTCCCGCATCCTCCACCCTCCAGGCACAGTGCCCGGGCGTGAACGTGCGTGAGTGTGACTGTGTATCGAGCCGACGCCGCCCGATGCAGGCGGCTCACCCAGGGCCGTGGCTCACAGGGGCTCACTCAGTGTCACACCTGCTGTGGGTTTGGACAATTGCGTAAGAACACGTATTGGCCAGTGCAGTGACTCATGCCTGCAATCCCAGCACTTTGGGAGGCCTAGGTAGGTAGATCGCTTGAAGTCATGAGTTCAAGACCAGCCTGACCACCACAGTGAAACCGTCTCCACTAAAAATACAAAAATTTGCCGGTTGTGGTGGTGTGCCCAGCTACTCAGGAGGCTGGGGTGGGAGGATCGCTTGAGCCTGGGAGTTCCAGGCTGCCCAGCTGCAGTGAGCTGAGATAGTGCCACTGCACTGCAGTCTGAGTGACAGAGCAAGACCCTGAATCAAAAAATACATAGTAACAAATTCCACCATTACAGCATCACACAGAGTCCACCGCCTTCAGAGCCCCACGCACCACCCATTCATCCCTCCCTCCTCCGCCCGGCACCGCCCTTCACTCTGCACTTTCTGGAATGTCCCAAGCTGGCAGCCTCCCATCTGCAGAGTTTGCTGGGCTTGCACCGGGGGCGGGGGAAGCGGCCGTCGGGGAGAGGGGTGGGAGGGGAGTCTCCTGGGTATAGATGCAGCCTGTCCTGGGCCTGCCTGACCTCCCTCTCTTCCTTTCCCCCAGGCCTCGCCAAGCCCATCGGCCTGGTGGAGGGGCCAGGAGGCCTGGGCCAGGGTGGCTTGGCGGCTACCCTGCGTGATGACGGCCAGGAGGCGGAAGGCAAGTATGAGGAGTACGGCTACAACGCTCAGCTCAGTGACCGCATCTCCCTGGATCGGAGCATCCCCGACTACCGGCCCAGAAAGTGAGTGAATGAGCTGCCCCCCCATGCCGGCTAGAGAAGTGAGCTGCCCTTACTCCGGGCCAGGGAAGTGAGTGCCCCTCCCCGAGCCGGCCGGGGAAGTGAGTGCCCCCTCCCCGCGCCAGCCGGGGAAGTGAGTGCCCCCCTGCGCCGGCCGGGGAAGTGAGTGCCCCCCCACGCCGGCCGGGGAAGTGAGTGCCCCCTCCCCGCGCCAGCCAGGGAAGTGAGTGCCCCCCCCCCCGAGCCGGCCGGGGAAGTGAGTGCCCCCCAACGCCGGCCGGGGAAGTGAGTGCCCCCCCACGCCGGCCGGGGAAGTGAGTGCCCCCTCCCCGCGCCAGCCGGGGAAGTGAGTGCCCCCCCGAGCCGGCCGGGGAAGTGAGTGCCCTCCCGAGCTGTGGGCTCCTGGGAGAAAGGCGCAAAGGTCTGCTGTGGGAAAGTGGAGCGGTCAGGAGCCCCGGCCTGTGGGGCCCTCCTGCCTCCTCTGTCTCTCCTGTCTCTCTCTCTGTCTCTCCCTCTCTCCTTCTCTCAATCTCTCTGTATCTTCTGTCTTTCTCTCTCTCTCTGTGTCTCTCCCCCTCCTCCACTTTTGGCTGCGGGCGTCCTTCCCAGGGCCTACCCCAGGCTTGGGGCACCCCTGCCACAGCTGCATCTGGGGATCGCGGAAGCCGGGCTGAGGCATCATGGCTCACGCAGCACAGGCACCCTGTGTCAGGCCCTGCCAGCCCTGGTCCCACCTGCTGTGGCCTCTCACTGCTGAGCTGGGTGTCGCTTGTGTCTGAAGCGAAGGGCATTCCCGTTCCATCCGTGGCCTGCGCACCTCCCATCCTGTCGCCCCACAAGCTGCAAGAGTGGGTGAATCAGGAGCCAGGCCCTGGAGGCTGCGGCTTTGCCTCAGTGCCACCCGGGATGGAGCCTGGTCTCTGACCCTCACACCTGCCCTGAGGGAGCAGCCACGACAAGGCAGGATTTACCAGCCCTCCTGCGCCTCCGTCCACAGAGCCCAGCCCATGGCAGGATGCTCCCTGGGAGGGCCCCTGGTGGCATCGTCCTGCAGAAGCCAGGCGCTCAGGGCTGCCCAGCAGGGCCGCGTGGTCACCGTGGGGTGGTGGCAGGTGGCCTCAGCCATACTTGCCTCCTCCTGGAGCTGCCAGAGGGAGAGCAGGTGGGAGGGCAGCCCCCTCTGCAGCTCCTGGTGTGGTCAGCCTGCCCCACCCACCAGGGGACCCTGACACCAGGATTCTTGGGCCAGGAGCTCATTTGAGATGGGGATGGGGAGGCTGGCAGGGAAGAGAAGCGGGGAGGAAAGGTGTGTCTCAGCCCCATTCCATTCCTTGTGACTCAGGCAGTGGTTCCCAGGGCGTTCACTCAGCTGCTCTGGAGTTCCCCGCGTGTGGACGGAGGGACGTGTGATGGCCAGACAGGCCTGCGGTGTCTAGGGGTGCAGGGAGCGCCCCGGGCCACGTAGAGGTGGCTGCGGGAAGCCGGAGCTCCCTGTTCTAGCCAGGTGGGGCCCGCTTCACACCTTTCCCACAAACACGCGCTGGGAACCGATTCTAGGTGTGATGAGGCTTCCTCAGACGGCACAGCGGTGCAGGTGAGGCGTGCCCAGCTCCCGAGGCTCTGACTCCTCCTGGAGGGGGTCTCCACGAGTCGTTCAGACAAACAGGGCCGAGGCCTGGGCACGGAGGCTTCCGCACCTGAACCACATCCAGAGTGCGACGACATTATTTTATTTTCATTCCACTTATTTTCATGGTTACCATGATTTAACACAAGCGATGCCAGCTTTCCATTTGCAGCGGTGAAATGAAGATTCCTTTTCAAATAAAAAATGCATTTAGTTTTAAAATAGGCCAATTTAAAGAAACATGCTCCATAAGTAAGAACACAGTGGTGTTTTCATGTGGTGCCAGCTACAGACTTGGGGCTGGAATGACTTCGGTTTGGAAAGTGGCTGGTGCACGTCAGCTGACCTGTGCAATGAGTGTGCACGGTGTGTGTGCGTGTGTGTGTGCATGCGTGTGTGCATGTGTGTGCGCACGTGCGTGTGTGCGTGCATGTGCGTGTGTGCGCGTGTGTGCACGTGTGCAGGCATGTATGTGCGTGTGTACATGTGTGCACATGTGGGTGTGCGTGTGTGGGGGGTTTGAAGGCTCCTGTGTGTCCTAAATTTGGGGGTGAACTCTGTTTGCTGTCAGGGCTAGCCTCTCTGCTGGAGTGAGCACCGTTCTTGGCTATAAGCCTCTAGGCAGCTGTTGTGTGGCAAGAAACCCGTCTGCCAAGATAAAGTCTGGCAGGAGTGGCCAGTCCCAGCTTCGTTCTTATGTCACAGAAGACGACATCGGGGTGAACCTTGAAAGAACTGGCATTTGCTCCATACCCTCACTGATAGAAACCCAGTTTACAGATACTCTGGTTTGAAGGCACACAGCTCTCTGCCTCCTGAACTAGAGAATGTGAATTTTATATAGATATTTACACATGTATTTATATCCCATTTCTTTCCCCAAAAAAGTGAGGAGGCTTTGACACCAGTGAAACACCCACCCCACGCCCAGCCCGCCCCTGCACATGTGGCCGAGAAGCTCGAACGCGAAGGCCTCCTGGCCCCTCACCTGCCCCTCGCAGGCCCTGCCCACGGTCTCTCCAGCTCCGCACCCAACCCAGAGCTTCCCCGGTGCCTGCAGAATAGATCACAGGGGATTATTCACCTGCAACAGCCCTCACAGGTACCACCTAGAAAGCAGACCCCGGTGGACGCCGGGTCTTATCCATCTTCCCAGGGACCACTTTCCGAAAAGGAGCTTGGGTGGAGAGACCCGAACCCGGCGCGGCTCAGCGAGTATGGCTGGGAAGCATCTCCACGGTGCCTGGCCTTTCCCTGGGGTCACTGAAGAACTGCTGGCGGCAAGGGGCTGGCTGCAGACCATGCACTGTTCCCTTAATTCCTGCAGCGAGCTTAGAGGCAGAGCCTGTTATTGTCCCATTTTATACATGGGGAAACTGAGGCAGGAAGGGTTAAATCTCCTTATTGAGATCCCACAGAGAGGAGGTGGTGGCAGAGCGGGGACGTGGAGTCTAGAGATTTTACAGAAAAAGAGTGGAAACCCCCGTCATTCTGAGGGACCAGACGGGGGTGCAGGCTGAAAGCTGAGCCCGGGAGGGGCTGGGGGCCGCCCTGAGGGGTCTCTTCCCCAGGGTCTCATCTCCCTCTGGGGCGGGCTCTGTCCCACTCCTTCCTCTGCTGGCTCAGGAGTTCGGGGGCTCCGCCTCCTTTCCACGGCTGCTGCCTGCCGGCCTCCTCCCGACTCTGGGCTGGGGGCACAGCCTGCCTCCCTCTCCAGCCCTTCGGGGAGGACGTGGACCCCCTTCCCCTAACTGCTCTCGGAAGCTTCCACGCAGGCCCCTTCCGGACACTTTGCTTCACAGACACAGACAGGGCAGCTCACAAGGTTCTGTTTTCACCCAGAGTCTCCATGCTGCCAGGCCGCAGGCGTCCTCGGGGTGCCTGTGGGGCACATCTGTCTCTAGGGCCTCCTGTGAGTGCCTCCTGTCCTTCAGGCATCTCCTCACCTTGGAGAAGACACATTGGTGTCCCTCATCCTCCAAAAAGAAACCCCTTACTGCTGGCCATCCGGATGGGTCAGTCAATAAGACATAAAATCCAATTAAAAATGGCCCAACCCAAAAAGGGACTCTGTTGACTCAGGCAACTGAAAGGTGGGGCTTCAGGTATGGCTTGATCTAGGGGATGGTCCACCCCTGACTGCTCTCGGGTTAGATGTACCTTGACTCTCTTAGGATCCTCGCAGGAAATTGATGGTGCCCTTACATGGACATGGGCAGAATCCAGGAGACCTGGTGGACACTGGGCATCCAGGAAGTGGATCCAGGAGACCCAGTGGACACTGGGCATCCAGGAAGTGGATCCAGGAGACCCAGTGGACACTGGGCATCCAGGAAGTGGATCTGGGAGACCTGGTGGACACTGGGCATGCAGGCAGTGTCCAGGAAGTGGATCCAGGAGACCCAGTGGACACTGGGCATCCAGGAAGTGGATCCAGGAGACCCAGTGGACACTGGGCATCCAGGAAGTGGATCTGGGAGACCTGGTGGACACTGGGCATGCAGGCAGTGACCACGGTGAATCCAGGAGACTTGGCGGACACTGGGCATCCAGGCGGTGACCACAGTGAATCCAGGAGACTCGGCGGACACTGGGCATCCAGGAAGTGGATCCAGGAGACCCGGTGGACACTGGGCATCCAGGAAGTGGATCCAGGAGACCCGGTGGACACTGGGCATCCAGGCAGTGACCACGGTGAATCCAGGACACCCGGTGGACACTGGGCATCCAGGAATTTGATCCAGGAAGTGACCGCACTGGAATGTTCTTCTCTCCACGGCCTGAAGGGACAGGGGCGAGAATCACAGGTGCCCAGCAAGAGTTGGAGCTGCAGAGAGAGGACAGGGGGTAGGGAGAGTAACTCTGGAGAGAAGAAACCACTGCCAAGACGGTGGGGAGGGGATCCGGGATGCCCCTCACTCCTTCCACCCTTCAGGCTCTGGGGCTGCCTCCCAAGACTGAACCCAACAGAAGCCGGAGGGCGGAGGAGCCTGGCAGGAAGCCTACAGTGGTCGCACAGGGGACAGCACGGGGCTGGGCAGAGCAGAGCCTGGGCTCGGGGAGGGGAGATCCCAGGGAGGAACCGGCCGCGCCGTCCTCAGCCTCCAAGTGTGGCAGCTGCAGCCACCGTCCCCACTGAGGACTCTGGACCCCCCAGCAACCATGCAAGCGACAGTCTCGGGCGACTTTCATTGGCCCATAGTGGGTCACGTGCTTGTCTGGGACCCAATCACAGCCAGCAGCCTGGGGAATGGCGTTCACTGATTGGTCAAGCCTTGTTACACGTTCCCTGTGGGAAACGAGACTAAATCCGCATTGGAGGGGGCTGGGGAGTGGGGCCGCCCCGGCGGACACCGGGGTCACTGGGGAGCACAGA